CTGAACTGTAGCATTTTAAAATTGAAATTACTGGGAATGGAACTCCCTGAAGATTATATGCAATTCAGAAGAAAGAGCCCTGATAATTATCACTGCTGGTGAATGTACAGTGAGGCTGTTGGTCTCACTTCTTTTACATTGGCTTTTGTGGTTGGGTTGTGTATTTTAGGCTTGGTATAGTGAAAGAGTATAATTTTGTGTCAGAATTAACATTCTTGTCATATTGTTAACTTTTCTTCACATGCTTGTCTTCAGTGCAAGAGCAGGGTGGTATTAGCCTTCAGCTGTTTGTGTGTTAACCTAAACCACACATCTCTGATAAAAGTTTTGGAAAGATTCTTAAGGTTTTCCTTCTTCATTTACTAATTTTGAAAAATAAGTCTTAGCGTGTAGGTCTAAATATGTAGTCACCAGGACAAGAAAGTGAATGGACTGGAAATAACGAGAACCTTCTTCAACAGAGAATCTGAGTTCTGTAATGTAACGTGATGGAAAGTTGTATCTAACCCAATACATATTTTTGTCTCATAGCAGGTATTTTATTGATTCCAGTGCAGAGACATGGTTCTCTTACTATATAGTTGATCATTTGCAGACCACCAGTTTACCCTGGTCATACTTTTAAAACTCTCTTTCCTCCCTTCTAACGGAGATAGAAGGTAGGAAGAAAACTGCTGTCAGATTTGTTAGTGAAACAGAAGATTTTTCTGTTTCTGACCTTTTTTCTGTGCTAGCTGCCAAAGACAAATTTTAGTAATTCTAATATCATTAACTTCCTAATACCGGGTCCTACTTTGTGTTGAGATCCCATGGTATTTTTGTAGATTGGTAAGTATTTGTCATACAGAATCATAGAATCACTATGATTGGAAGGGACCTCTAAGATCATCAAGTCCAGCTTTCATCCCAGCATCTCCCCAACCACTAGACCACAGCCTCAAGTGCTACATCTACTCATTTTTTGAACACCTCCAGGGATGGTGACTCCACCACCTCCCTGGGCAGCCCATTCCAGTGCCTAACCACTCTTTCAGTGAAGAAATTCTCCCTACTATTCAATTTAATATGACCTAAAGCAAAACATTTCTACCTGATCTCAAGGCAAAATACTGTTTAACCTGCTGGATGCTGGAAATACGGCTCCTGTGCTACTGTTTGATGGGAATAGGAGGAGGGAAGGGAACCCTCAAAGAAATGTGGCTTTGGGGAAGCCTAAGCCTGTGTTTTTTCCAGCAGCTTAAACTACTGATGAACTTACCACCCTCTATTGCTCATTGATGTGAAGGCTCCAGGCCTGTTCTGCCCCTCTGACATGCTGCTGTAGTTTCTACCTGTGGCATTTGGTTCTGTTTGAGTAAATCTAACAAAGACCCATGGCCTAAGCTATTGTAGCTTGCTTTCACTGAAAGTGATCAGAGCCCAAGAGCAGAAGTACTCAAGCCCATTATCCTGCCTCTAGCAGTGCTGAGTACAGGATACTTAAAAACCTTTGCCTCTACCTGTGGCACATCCACTGGGCTTTTGGCAACCAGCATTTGATAGACTTTTAGGACTGGAAATTGTACTTTCACCATTGTGTTTAGTCACCCTGGATGAACCTTTCTTCTTTTAATTTGTTCATTTGTGTTTTGAACGTCTTCATGATTTGGGCAAGTAAGTTCCCACAGTCCAGTTTTGCATTGTGCAAAATTATATATCTACACACTCTTAAGGTTTCGGTTTTTTTTTTAATTTTCAGTCTACTGTGTCGTAGCCATGTTGGTGTCCTGCACTTTCTTAGTAGAAGTAATGAATAAATAGTTTCTGTAGACTTTCTCCTGGTCGTTCATGGTCATATAGAACTCTGTAGCGTTCCCCCTCGGTTGCCTCTTCCAGTCTGAAGGCTGCCGCTCTCTAGTCTCCCATGTACAGAAGCCATTCCATACCAGTGATCATCTCTCTCTCTCTGCTCTGTGTCTTTGCTAGTTCTGCCTTCCTTTGAGGTTGGGTGACCAGAATTGATAGCAAGATTTAAAATGAAGATGCATCATTTATACAGTGCTGTAATTATGTTTTTCTGTTTCCTCTGTTCCTTCATAATCACTCTTAGCTTTCTCTTTGCCTTTTTGACTGCTACAGAGCCAACTGCCTGCAGAGAGTTATCCACAGTGACTGCAAGGTCTCTGTCCTGGATGGAACAGAGCTAATTTAGAGTCTGTTGTTGTGTATGTATAGTTAAGGCTGTGTATCCTTGTGAGCACCACTTTATATCAATGTTGAATACTGTTTCCCTTTTAGTGTGCACTTGGAATTTGTAATATCCTTCTGCAGTTCTTTGCAGTGCATTTTACTTTGACTGTCCTCTTTTTTTTCTTTTAGATTTTTGCCAACTAACTTTGTCACATCACTATTCACTCCCTTATCCAGATCACTTTGCAAGCAGCACAGATCCTTGTGGGACCCTGCTGGTAACCTTCCTCCATTGTGAAAAAGGGCTGTGTATTTACACTTCATTTCCTGTCTTTTAATCAGTTGTGGGAAGTCGTGAGGGAGGTTTCCTCCTAATCCTTACCATCTTAGCTTCTGCCAGAGCTTTGATTAGGGAACTTTTCAAAGGCTTTTTGGAAATCCAGATTCACTCCCATCTGAATCCCTCTTTCCCATGTGCTTCCTAATTCTTCCAGTGTCCTTTAAGAGGTTTGAGAGGCAGGAATTCCCTCAACAAAAGACAAGTTGATTCTTCATGGATGTATCTCATACGTGTATGAGTACATTCTGACATTTATGGCTTCAGTGAGCATGCCAGCTGTAGTAGTAGAGTTGTGTAGTTCCCTGGGCCTTAGGGAGAGTTTCCACGTGGTGCCTTTGCCAGCGTGTCCAAGAGGCACCAAGTGTGGCTGTGGGCAGTGGCAAGCAGCTCAGAGCCAGCCACCTCCTCAGCCCCTGCAGCTGTGGGCACTGAACCAGGTCCTGGGAAAGCCCTTTCCCTCCAGCTATTTCATCGATGTCAAGCACTGCTATTCCACTGGTAGTTTCCCCCTCCCGCCCCTTTTAATCCTAAAAACAAAAAACAGGGGAGGTCTCAGAGGTGAGCCTCTGTGGAGCCAGATACACATTCTCATTTTCCTCACTTCCCATTGATGCAGGTGTAGGGGCTATTTTCAAATGATGCACAAAGGAGTGTAAATTGTGTTCTTATTTTAGGTTGGAAAACTAACCCTAGCTGCTGCAAGGATAGAAAGTTAAATCTATTTTCAGGTGCCATGTGTATTTTATTTCCTTCATCTCCATTTCCTCTTGTGTTTCACTGAGAGAAGATCATGAGTTTTTTTCAAACTGCAGTTCCTTACATACATTACAGCTCTTGCATTTCAAAATGATCTCTCATATATAAACATCATAAAATACTTGTCAGTACTGTAATGTGGCATCAGAAATCAGATGCTTGATAATGAAACTGGAGATCTTTAAGTGCTTTAAAAGGCACTTAATAAGGTAGGTTTTATGGGGCAGTCAGACTGTTCAAGAAAACAACCATATATACCACACTGTATGAAGGTGATTCTTGTTCTCTCCTTTGTATGTCTTACTGTGAAGAAAAAGTTCAAAATTTTAGAATGGGATTGTCTGTACAGTCCAGAGAGGTTCTTGGGAAGGACTACTCTTGCTGACTCATAATAAAAAAATAAATGAGTGTTTAATGAAAAAAGAAATTGCACATTCAAAGGCAATAAAAGGGCAATCATTCTTGCACTCGGTACTACTTTAGACTGTGGAGGTCACTGGCACATGGAAGTCTTCAAGAATTTATTGAGAGTCCAGAGAGACAGTGGAGCACAAGAGCAATCAGTAGGGTTGAGAATTTTAGAAGAGGTTCTTCCTCTGCATCAGAGCTTAAGGTCAGTCCAGAAAACTAGGAATCAGAATGAAGGCTTGGAGGGATAAAATGCTAAAATAAATATAGGCAGGGGATATGAACCAGTTTGTTCTTATGTTAAATTGGGTGAGGTAATAACATCTCATAAACATCATACGTCTGCAGTGTTCATACCTCCAAGTGAGATAAATGTCAGTCGTTTGGTACCGAAAAGGAAAATAACCAGCTACATGGATACCCATATGTTCTTTATAAGCCAGAGCCAGCTTTGTGGGGACAAAACATTCACAGATACACATACACGATACACTGCTTGACTGTTATAAGTCTGGCTCATCCTCCATCCTCCTGGCTGTTTTCCAAGAGGAAATCCTGGCCTTCTTTCCAGTTAGACAAGTGCAGCGTCTCCCCATCCCAGAAGGGGAGAACAGGGCTGCAAGCTATCCACAATTAAAATTGCCGCAAGCTTTGCTTTACTGGCTTTACTTGTGTGTCTCTAATGAAGAGGGACACTTACCATATCTCAGGCAGGAGTCGAGACTTAGATCGTACTAATTCTGAAATCTGAAAACAAGTAAGAACCGTGTAAACTTCAAAAACATTTTAATTACTCTTATTTGTCCATGCTTGTGCAAAAGGTACAGACTCACAGGAAGCAAGAAAATAGTGTCTGGGGTTCCCCACCTCACACCGTGGGTATGTGGTTGTTATTTTCCTCACAGCAGCCTGAGCTTAGGGAGGAGGAATAGCTCAGCCTGAACACCAAATTTTCTTGACGTTGCTAAAGAGGCTGTCAGAGCAGATCTGTCTGCATCCTGTGAGCCAATTCAGGAGCCGGCTGTTGGTCCCTCGCAGCTCAGCTCTTGCCATGGCTCATGCTGAAAGCCTTTGATGCTTGTACCAACAGAGCTGCGGTGGATTAAGGAACATTTTACAGAGGAGAAATTTTACCAGCTCATTGTGCCTCACCTCAGTGGGGCTGAAACATCAGATGAACCTCACTTTCCTCCCAGTCCCCTTTCACACTGCATCACACCTCCTCTGTGTGAATGATGCCATTGCCTTCTCCTGTGGCAGTGGTGGAGGCACGCAGCACGTAGCCGAGTCGATGGCCTTAATGAGTTGTTCTTGCGGTGCAATGCAGGTTCTGGATTGACCAATGTTAAAACAGAAGAGGTATCTGAAGTGAAGATGGATGCGGAATTCCGGCACGACTCAGGATATGAAGTACATCATCAAAAGCTGGTGAGTGAGCAAACACTGCTCTCCACACGCGTGTTTTGAGCGGCTGATTCAGTCTCGAGCTAGCGGGTCATTCATGGGCACGTTTCCCCCGAGTGATCTGGGTGCTGAAAGTGCCAAAAAGAAGTTTACACATGCACAGATTATGATTTTTCTAGTAATCTCCTAAATGAGATTAAACTTGGAAAAATTTCAGCAGAGAGGACGGAAAGCCATCAAGTCTCACACGAACAAATTCTGACAGTGCCTGCCCTTGCACTGCCTTGTGACTGGATGTGGTCACACGGGCGATACCTGTCCCACAGTCCATCTGCTGTGGTCACAGAACTAAAGAGAAAGGACACAGAGGAAGGAAAATACTAAGTTTTTTTTTAAAAGAAATTAAAAATGCTTGATGGAGACACACAGCATGGTGCAGCAAGAAACAGAGTGACGCTGTTTCAGGGATAGATTCCTTTTCTGTCAGAACAGATGGTGGTGGTACATGAAGGATGCTGAACTCCATGGAGCATAACCTTTTGCTTGGGATAAGAGGAGATTCTCCACTGGCCGTAAATATGTGCTTGGCTGTATCTGTGTATTTCGTTCCTTAAGATATATTAATTTATTAACAGGTGAAGGGCAGGAAAGAGCAAAATACTGTTCCCCATTTCGACCGTTTTTCTTATGAACACAAAAATAGCAATCAAAAGCAATATGAGTAAGAACAAGCATCTTCTAAAAGCTTTTTTTCTGTCCCTTAATAGGTAATGAAGAACCCATAAGCTAGTGTTGACTATAAACCTTTCCTGCTTCCTCTCTTATAAAGGTGTATTACACAATGAGATTTCAGTTCCATGACTTTCAATATCCTGATATTAAACATGAAAGCTTTTTTTTAATATATTCTTAAAGCTAAGTAGTGCTGAAAATTAAAATTAACATGGGACTCAAATTTGCATTTGAACTAGGCAATCACTGTGTGAAAAGATATTCAGCCATCTCTTTGATGCCGAGAACTGAGAATTCCCAGTTTGACGAGCTAATCCAAAATGCATTAGCACTAATTTGGGAAATTCTGATGTGCTTAGCTCAGGTGGGTTAAACATCCTGATGGAGTAAACCCATGCAGTTCACTGAAGGGACAGAACTTGCAGGAATGTGGTTTAGACACAGTAGTTATTGATCCTGTGTCACGTGCACTTCCTAGCAGCAGCCTTTAATGTGTAGGTGGTTTGACACCATCCCAAGCAGTCTGGTGGCTGGTAGGGAATGCATGGCAGTTGGTAGTCTGTGTCATGCTTAAAGTGGGGCCTTCCCAGCTTTTTAAAGCATTTTACGCATTACTGATAGGTACAACCATTACTTAAAAATCAGTAAGTTGTCCTCTAGGTTACCTTTTCAGCTGAGACTGAGTAAGGAGTCCAGTACTGCTGGGAGAGTACTGGGCTGATGCCTGACGGGGCGCTGCATGTTACCACTTGACATATCCCAGCTGATGCCCTTCTCCATTAGCTTTAGTTCAGAAGCAGTGAGCAGAAAATACTTGGATCTTTGTTTTCCTTCTCCTGTGCCCTGCCTGGTAGGATTTACTGAAATGGTCTCCTTAGGATATTGCTTTAAGTTTGGCTGCATATTGTGTTTTGCACGCAACCTTCTGAATTGAGCTGAAATTGCAGTTATTTTCTCCTTTATGAGTGTTCACATTTTAACTGTACATTAAGTTGATTTTCATGGCTCGGAGTGCTTAAGGCCTTCCTCTGTTGCGTATGTGTATTAGCTGGGGCATTTCACAGTGCTCCAGAATAGTATGGTATAACAGAATTTCAGTCTTGGGCAGGTGAAATTCAAAGAAGAAATTATTACTTCATAGTAGCTTATTCTAACACTGTCCATTGTGTGTGTGTCCTACTGAATACTTAACTTTAAGCACATTTCTTGCTTATGACTAGGAACACTATAAATATTTATATGCCATGTTTTAATACCTCTCTGAGGAATTTGTGTTTCTTAAAGAGTGCAAATGTTATACAGCTCATTAACAGTCTCAGCTGGTTTCCAGCTTCACTCTGCATTTTTGTTAAATGCTTATCAAAGTATTTAGTCTTTCAGAGTGAGGTAGTCTTACAATTCTGTGAATGTAATTTATTTTCTAATCCTTTTTGCCCATTTTGGTTAAAAATTATAATAATAATAATAAAAACCCCTGTCCCTATTGACAAGCAGACAAAAGGTTTGTAAAGTCTGCGTAGATGTAAAATCATCCAGTGTATTCCCTGAATGCAGAACAGGACAGTGAAAACAATCACTCACTTTTCAAACTTGCTCCTGTTGCCAAAAGCCAGTCTTAAAAATGTGTAGTAAAGAGTCTTCCAGTCCACTGTTCTGCCTGAGTATACATAATTTAAGTGGGTCTTCTGGTTTTCACTTGTGTCATCTCGTCTAGAGATGACTACATGAGTGTAGTCATCATCCAGGTACAGCTCATTCTCCCTCTACCCTGCAAAATCTTGATGCACCCCTTTGTGGTCATTTAACTAAGGATGCTTGTGGTTTTCTGAACTTTTGTCTCTTTGATGTGAGAATTTTCTCCCAGCTGGTTGTGTGCAAGAGTCACTGTTGTCCTACAGGTCTTCACTGCTCCTTTAATGAAGAAATGCACCAGACATAGTCCAAATAAGCCTCACAGATGCAGATTTATGAACGTTTTCATGATTAGCATCCTAAAAGTAAAAAAATCTGTATATTCCCTGGTTATTCTTTTACAAGCTTATCAGTCATTTTGCAATTAGCTTGACTCACCTAAGACAAAAAAAAGCAGGTTCTGTCTAAGATGCATGTGAAGCAGAAGCATGGAGATGAGTCTTCTCCTTAGCCATAGCACTGCTACACCACAGGCAATACAGATTGCCCAAATTGCTCTTCTCCAATTATGAGAGCTTTGTGATAGAGTGATCCAGATTTAAATAATTTGGGTGACAGGCAATGCTGCTTAATTACTGATACTTCAATAGGCTTTATATGTCTGTGGCGGCTAGACAGGCTACCAAATAGTGAACTTCTGTTCTCTATTCCTTTGTTTTTCTTTTGTAGGTGTTCTTTGCTGAAGATGTGGGTTCAAATAAAGGTGCCATCATTGGACTAATGGTGGGAGGTGTCGTCATAGCAACAGTGATTGTCATTACTTTGGTGATGCTGAAGAAGAAGCAGTACACATCTATTCATCATGGAGTTGTGGAGGTAAGAAAAGATTGCCACGACAACTGGTGTCACGTGTGCAACACAGTCAACACATGGCTCTAGAAATATATTTACAAATGAAGAAAACATGTTTTGGGCTAGCCTGATGTTCAGAGTTGGAGTGGTTTTATCTGGCAGAGTAGAATGAAACTGCCTTATTTTGTAAATGCAGGCACAATATTAACAGTGGTAGAACCACAAGAATATCCCAGACCAATAAGCTCATAATATGAAAGCTCATTTTATAGGAAATTTAACAGCAGCCAATGAGCAGATAGTGCACAAGAGGAAAAACACAGTTTTAGTGTTGTTGGGAATGCACATGCATGGATTTCTTTCTTTAGCTTGAAAATTAACATTAGAGGCAGGTCTTCTGTGGATTGTGCTGTACACTGCAAGGATTTTCCCTGTACAGATACTTCATCACTTTTTGTTCTCTAAACAAGATTTTCTTTGGCCACCAACAGCTTTTTAAAAAAGTAAGCCTTTGTCGTAAGCCTGTGCTTGTGTGTCTGTACCATGGTTGCCCACGTGGTTTGAAACCTTTCAAAGAGGCATGGTCAAAAGAGCACCAACCATTTGGTGTGAGGTCTGAGCAGACAGCAAGCTGTGCAGAATTTGGACCAAGAGGCAAGCAAGAATCTCAGCTTTTGCTTTTCATATGAAAACTTCCAGCCCATTTCATCAAAAGTTGAAACAGGATTTTGTTTTAAACCACCGAGTTGATGGCTGCTGCCAACAGCTGTGCAACATGAGACCCTCCTTTGGCTGAATTTAACAACAACAGAACAGGTCAGGAGGCCTGATAGACCAAAGCCCCAGATCAGACATTGAACATGGATGTACCATTATTGTAGTATGACCTTAAAATTTCAGGTGAGCTTCACCTAATAGAATGATGTGGTAAAGATAGTTCTGGATTCCTACAAGCCTTCTAAAGTGATAATGAACTTGAAAATGTTGGGCTAGAAATAACATGAACAAGCTGAAGAAGCAATTCATGCCAAAATGACAGCATTACTTAGGAAATAAAAATTTTTACAGGTAAAACCATAAAGCTGTATAGCATGTGGGTGTAACAAGACTATTAGTCGATTTTTAGTACCACGCTGTAGATGGTGTCGCCTTGTAGATTTGCTGCATTGTGTCTGGCATTGGCAGGCAGGACTCCTCATTCTGCCAGACTTGCTCTGTGGTCTTGGCAGACTGCATAGCCTCACTGTCTATACTTCTCACCTGCAAGAAAGGCATAGCATCTATTTTTGTCCTAGGTTGGTGAAAATTGTGTAGAACTTACTTTGGGGAAAAAAACAAAAACAAAGAAACAAACAAACAAAACAAAACAAACAAACAAAAAAAAAAAAAAAAAAAAAAAAAAAAAAAAAAAAAAAAACCATTTAACAGAGCTAAGGAGTTCTCTGCACCACTCTGTGGCTTAATATTAAAATGTCTTCACAATTGAGCTATTCCATTCTAAAAAGGATGAATTTATTCAGCAACAGTGCACCTTTAATGTGCTGTGCACAAAAAGCACAGAAGAGCAAAATCCCTTTGTGTCAAAATAACTGTGCCTCAGGTCTAGGTTGGCCCAGTATGTTTTAACAAAACTTGCAACCTGTTTGTTGTGTCTCAGAAGTTACTGTGAGAATTTAGCTCTGATAAAGAATGCAAAATTACAAACCAGGTCCTGTTCCACCTGTATTCTTGTCTTCCAAATAGTCAGCTCTGACTGCAATACTTTTTCTCATTTCACTATTTCCTTAGCAAAAGACGTTATTAAAAATCCTGTTAGCCTTTTTTTTTTGATCTCTGAGGAGGAACAGACTTGTCCTATTTAGAAGAAGTCATAATAATTTTCTTCCAAGTCTGAGAATATGAATGTCTTAAAGTGGTTCAGCCTCTGCAGGAGGACTGCCACACTTAAGCAAGTAAACAGCTGAGTAATTGAAAATTACTTATTGTGTGTGTACATAGGAGCTCCAGCAAACATTTTGAGGGTGTTTTTTGATGGTGTGCCCACCCCAGCTGTCTGTAGGAGATCCATGGACTTTCTCCATGGAAGGAGGTGGCCAAACAGAGGTTTTCACCTCTGCTGTGCTCCAGACTACAGCTGACTGTCTCAACTCCTCCTCTTACAGAATCTCCTCTTGGAAGCTCATTTGCTTTGTTGCAGAGGCAGCACCAGGAGCATGTGGGGAAGGGTGACAACGTGAGGGCTCACAGCGGTAACTAAGAAGCCTTTAAGTTGTTGTAGTACTCTCCAAAGTTCATATCTCAGTCTGATCTGCAGGTGTATATCAGGCAGCATCCATTTACTATCATTTGAACAACAGTGTTGTGTTCAGTACATCTCTGAGGGCTACTGGCACCTCCTGCCTGGGCTTTTGATCTACCCCATGTGCGTAGAGGCAGCATTTGAATTTTTCTGCAGCGTTACCATCTTCCTAACTCCACATCAGGGTTTTCTGTGTGGAAGATCGATAGGCAGGATCAGACGGGGATGGATGGACAAACAGTCTCAAAAGAAGCAATCTACCTGACCGAGCTGTTTTCTCGAGAGACATCCATCATGTTGTAGAAAAGAGAAGTGTCCAGGCTGCTTCTCGGCAGCACCAGAGTACCCACACCTTTAACATGCTTTGTTCAACTTCTGCCACCTCCATAATGGGTGCAAAAAGCTTCTTAAAATGGTAAGGGGCTTTAGGGATTTACTGACAAGGAGATAATCGGGATCAAGGCATGTCGTTTGGCTGAGCAGTAGCTAGGACAGAGGCTGTGAGAGCGCGAGGCAGAGTCTGGCCGGGGAGAAGAGGAGACATTGGGGATGAGCGATAGCGCACGTCGGTTGGCAGTGAGATGGATCACCCTGCAGCACACGCCTGCAGGAAGGAGGGAAAGCACCAGAACGAGGCATTCTAAAGGCTAAAGGGGAAACTTAAAAAAAAACAATTGACTAAGACTGCAAGCGGGAGCTTCAATAAATCCCTTTCATCTGTAAATGCTGTATTTCAGAGGTTATTGGACTTTCACTATAGACTACTTTTATCAAAGTGAGACTTCTTAATACGGAATATTGTGCAAGGGTGTTAAAAATTCAGCCTGACTTTACTGTCCTTCCTCACATTTTTTTTTTTTTTTATAATCTTTTTTTCTCCCTGATTTTCTTCCAGGTTTCTCTAGTTTCTCATCAGTTCTCTAGTCTCTGCTGCCTTGCACCTTCTTGAATTCTTTTTTGTTTGTGTTGTTTCTTACCCCATTTCTTTCCCTCTAGCAGGCTATGCTGTGTGCTTATCACATCTGCTAGTCCTGAGTAAGAAGTGCTGAGTGGAAGGCTTAAGCTAAAAAGGGTGACAGAGGTCAGTACAGTGTTGTTTGGAGCTTAGGTATGAAGAACAGCACAGGTTCTGGCATACCCTTCCTTTGCATCCCAGCCCAGAGCGGGGAGCCTCACAGGAAGGAAGATGTATTCGTATTTGGGGATCTTTGATCTTTCAGCTTTATATCCTTCATATTGCATGTTAATTTTGTGCTGGAAGAGAATCGGTCAGTGGGTTTAGTTGTGGATTGTGAGACTCTCACTCCTTGATTTGGAGAAGCACTAGATACTCTGGTAGCATGGCATTACTGTGTGCAAGAGCCAGGGCTGACTTGACACTACAGCAGCCCCTTCAAGAGTGAAAGGAAGGATGGGTTTTCCTCTGCACTTGCTTTCTAGTCTTATTTTCTGTGAGTGCTGAGAAGGCTACAGGGACGTTTCCCTTTTCCCTGCTCTGTTCTTTTCCCTTCGCAGCCATGTTAGTGAGGACTTCTGCAGCAGCAGATGGCCTGCAGCAACGTTGTCAGCACAGAAGTAGCTAATCGTTTTCCATTTGCACGGCCCCCAGGGCAGGGATTAGGCCTGTTACATGTTTGCACAAAACCTGCATGGGATGGGTCTGTTGGGGCTGTGCCACTGCTGTGCTGCCGGTGCCACACGTGGGAAACCAGCGCGCTGCCCAACAGCAGCAGCATCGAGGAGCGGCCAGGAGCCAAGTGCCTGTGTGGGGCTGTAGGTGGTGGGTCCTTGTGGGGGGAGAGGCTGGCAGCCCCAGGAGAAAAGACAGGCAAAGCTGCTGGGGGGCACGGCCGAGTCTTCACAGGGCGAGTGCACGGCTGTACGGTGGCTGCCGAGCACGTTCTCGTACAGAAGTGTCTCAGGGATTTGGGCGTAAAGATTCAAGAGGAGAGGGGCTGTGGGTTCCCCTGTGCTTGTGGGTTCCCAGGGGTTCTCCTCTGCTTGATGGATCAAAATGATCGTTGGCAACCAGGCTGAGCATTCTTCTCTTGCTTGGGCTGGCCAGGGGAAGCTTGCATCCTGAAGAAGAAAATAAATTTTCTTCTGTTGCTTCTGGAGAGGGAGAGGAGCAGGGAAAGAAAATCACATCTTTTCCCTCAGCCTGCTAATTTCTAGAACAAGGGCAATCTGGAAAGAGCAGCTTTAAAGCAAGAGCACCATCTCTAACCAGGATCTCACTGCCTGAGAGTGTGACACAGGAGGTGAGGAATAGATGTACTTTGGGGTCACTGCACAAGAGAATTGCTCCTTTTAAAAAAAAAAAAAAAAAAAAAGGAGAGAGACAGCCTTTGAATGGCAGTATTTTAACAGCAAAAAAAGGCCAAGTTCCACTGCAGAATCAGGAACACAGGAAGCATCATGTCAGCTCAGCCCAGTGATCCTTTCTGCCTGGCATCCTGTTCCCTGCTGGCAGGAGTCAAGGGCTTGCTGGAAGGCTCAGAGCTCCCAGCTATGAAGAGCTTCACAGTAGCTTTGCAAGGAAAAAGCAGTGTGTGACCCTTGAAGTTGGGTTTTTCACAAAAATGTCCAATTATTGCATAAGGAAAATATTTGGTGGAAGATACAGCGTTGATTGGAAATGCTATTTGAGATTTGGTAGGGAGACAAGGAGATTTCGCAGAGGCACAAATAAGAAAATGGGTCAGATCTGGGGTTACCAGTTCATCTGAGCAGTCCAATACACATGCCACATGCAGAACCATTTCTTCTCCTCATTAACAAATAAAAGAACATGAAGAGAGAAGAAGGCTCTGAGAGGAGCCATTTTCCAGGTGGTTCTGTGGCGTAACCTACCACAATCAAAGAACAGCTGCACAAACAAGCTGAGCAGCCTCCGTTTGTCCCAAGCATGGAAGAACATCGCTTTAATCTCTCTCCAGGGTATCAGATAACAATTTTCCCAAAGTCACAGTCTGTCCTCACTAAGCTGAGCTATTTACAGTATTGAAGAGTAGATTTAAAATGAGAATCAGACATAATTACTTCTCCTTTGCTTCTTTATTAAAAGGTTAGAGTCAGTTAGCCTGCTATATATAAGGCTTCTTGAGAGAATACACTTCCCATTATTCAGAAGGCCATTTTTATGCTTAAAGGAAATGGTTGTTTCTCCTAAAGGTCACTACTTAGAGTAATCCACAGGAAAATGTTCATACCTAATACTTCAGTATAGAGTCTTAGGCACCTTCCTGATTTAAAATTTTAAAAAATGTAAAATTCACTTTTTACCTTCTCTTTTAAGAACTGTCAAACAGGAGAGAGACCACAGAGCAAATGCAATTGCTGACAAGCAGGCTTTCATAGCTCCGTTTTCAGAGGTGGCTAGCAAGATAGCCAGTCTCCTGTAGGTTTTGAATACACTAAAAACCTGAGCTTGTACAGCGGAGTTAAAATACCTAATTAACACTTAGAGACTGTCCTCACCCATTCTAGTTCGTTTGAGTTTTATATTACTGTAATGGACAGTGAAGGAAGAAAATAATTTGTGGAGCAGCAGGTGTTCGGTGGAGAGGTCTTGACTGAGCTGTCTTTGTGCCTGTCTTGCAAGTAATCAAGAAAAGTCGTTTTTTGTTAAGAGAAATACTTAGACAAGTGCAGACACATCAAGGTTTTTGTCGCTAAATTGAACCAAACTCAACCTTAGAGACCGAGAAGTTCTGTTTCTCTGAGTGCAATGGCATTTTTTGCTCACCTTCTGGCTGGCTACTCTGGCATTTCCTTGCTACCCTCATTGTATTTTTTCCAGTTAATTTTTCTGGGTCTGGAGACCACAGCACCTGTACCAGATCTGAGAGCACAGCAGAGACAGAAGGCTTCACGCCACTTCCTTTGGCTTTTTAGTGAGCTTTTTCTTTTCTTTTGAAACCCAGTTGATCCAGAGTATAGATACCGAAATATATCCATGGGGGGCAAAAAAGAAAATACTGGGACACAAGTGGGGAGATGCGAAATATATCTCCTTCTTTTGTTGGTAGCATTGCGTACTTAGTGATCCAGACAACAAAGAACAAAGCTACTGTTGAGTTTGGTCAGCTGGTTTTGAAGTCCTGCAGAAAAAAAACCCGAGCTGCAGAACTGTTCTGCTGCCTTATCTTCTCCTTGTTCCTGCCTTATCTATCTTCTGCGTATTACTCTGTCCAAAAAGCGAGCCATGACTGTCCAAGCTGGAAGGGCCCTCTGTTGCGGTGAACTCTTTAAAGCTGTTTGCTGGCTCCTCATTTACTGCTGGGTGCTGGGGCATCTGTTGATTGTGTTCGTGAGGGCGCTCAGCCCTGCATAACTTGGAGAGAAGCGTTCACTTCAGACCAAGCGAGGGCCTCCAGGTCCTAGATGGAGTACTCTGTTTAGTGGAGGAGTATTCCCATCCATCACCTCACAGCCACGGTAGCGCAAGGGAGGGTACGCAATGTGCTGGATGGCCGTGAAGTGGGGGGACGTGGGGTGTGCTGCGAGTCGGGCGGGACCCTGACCCTGGCTGTGCCCTCCCGCCACAGGTGGACGCTGCAGTGACGCCAGAGGAGCGCCACCTCTCCAAGATGCAGCAGAATGGCTACGAGAACCCCACCTACAAGTTCTTTGAACAGATGCAGAACTAGGACACCACAGCAGCCTCATGAGTTGGACAGCAGAATGGTTGCGTCACTGCCCATCGGTGTTCAGTTATAGAATAATGTGGAAAGAAAGAAAAACACTCTGTTTTGTTATTTACTCATTCTCGCCTTTTGACAGCTGTGCTGTAACACAAGTAGATGCCTGAACTTGAATTAATAAAATCAGTAATGTATTTTCTCTCTCTTTCTCTTTACATTTCAGTCTTTACATTATTAATGAATGTTTTTTGTGTACTGTAAAGAGGTTAGCTGTATTTAACTAGTGCATGGATAGATTCTCTTTCCCAATTATTTATCATGTAGCTCCTTAGCCAGTTGTATATTATTCTTGTGATTTGTGACAAAAATTAAGTCCTAATTGAAATATGCTTTAAGAATTGATGGGGGATGCTTTCTGTGTCTGTGGGGTTTAGCTGCTTCTCTTTGCTGAGCGTTTTTTTCTGATCACTATGCATTTTAAAGTAAAAAACATTTTTTAAAAAGTATTCCAGATGAGTTACTGAAATTTTTTTCCTCTGCAGCTGCATTTTATTGTACAGATTGTTGCTCCTGCTGTATTAGTGACGTAGAAATCATGGGAATACACATTCGTTTCTTTGTGCCTGTTTTATGTGCACACTTTAGGCATTGAAACGTAAACTTTATTTTCTTTTCCATGTATCTTTTTTGATCTTAAAAGAAATATTAAAAAGAATCCCTGTTAATTGTGAGCACTTCTGGGGGGGAAAAGTGCCTGCTGGTCGAAAATTAACAGGGATCCTCTGCAGGATGATTGTACAGAACCATTGCTTATGAATTGATAGCTTTCTACACTGTGTTACATAAATAAATTAAGAAAAAAAAACACTTGGACAAGAGTTTTCTTTGGAGGCAGAAAACAAAGATTTCTGAAAGCTACTTAAACAGAAAACATGGATGTTCACAGCAAGAGAGGGTTGGGAAGGGGTTTTCCTACAAGGATGGCCACAGTCGCACTCAGAGCAGAGCAGAAGGCAGCAGCAGCGAGACGGGGTGGGGAGTGAGGGGCACCCATGGGCACACCGGCCCCTCCAAGGTATCTCCTTGTTTTTTTCTCTTCCTTTCTTTCAGTTTGTACAATAGTGTTTTAATGTAAATAAATAACGTTCCTGGAGGAAGCCTGTCGTGGTGGCGTGTTTCTGTGCCGACCGGCCGTGCTCGCTCACTCGTGCAGAGGAGCAGGGTGTGAGTGACTAGCCCCTTGCCTCCCCGTCCATCCCCGGGAGCAGCCTGCCAGCCAGCAACCTCGTCCCTCACCCTTAGTGGGCACGAGGAGGAGCCTCCGAGGATGCCAGACCATCCAGCCTGGTACAGCAGCGTGACAGTGGGTGCCCAGGCATGTTAAAATGGCACCACCAGTAATTCTTCCCAAAAGCTGCAGGCAGGGGTCAAAGCTGTTTGTGAGCTGTGGTACCTAAACCCCTGGCTGGCACCATCTGCCCACTGCTGGCTGGAGCCTGGCTGAGAGCTTCCTTCAGCCTCTGGCCCTGCCGGGGCCCGACTGCGGCGTGGGGGGAGGGCAGCGGCCCCGCCCATGGGGCT